ATTCCATTTTAGAGGCATGGAAGGCTGATGTGCATGGCAAATTACAATATAAGTTAAAGTTTCTAGTGTGAATGATGTGTATATGTGAGCAGTCAATACTGAAATTTGGAATAACCTTAACAAAAAGGTTTTTATTAGAGTTCTGTATGTTTATTTTTGCACCGAAATTTGTTCTTAGGTATAGTTATAACATTTGTTTGTGTGCTGTAATATACTCTTTGATATTAAAAGGTAGCAAAATCTGATTCATTGGCTGTTTGTGTCTATTTCCCTTAAAGTTATGATCGCAATGCATGCAAGTTTAGATTACATTGATTCTTGATATTGTAGTTTAATGTCTATTGTTCATAATCATGTGTTTATTTATATAATGGTTCTTGTTTTGTTTCCTTTTTGGGTATTGCTACCATAACAGTGCATTCATTAGATACCACTAATTCAAACTTACCATGCTTTGCTTTTTCAGTCTGAACTCAGTCTGAACAATAGTCTTTTCAGTCTAAACAATAGTTTATAATTATGTACAAGATCGAAAATAAATAATTTTAATACTGAACTGAATAATGAATGTCATTATTTCTATCCCTGTTATATTGTTCCTCTTGTTCCATGTATCTCTGGTAATGATCATCAACTATCTGAATAATATTAACTTCATTCTCTCTCACACGATACTTGTAACGTTTAGCCAGTATCACAAACACTATCAGTATGATAAGAACTAGTACACTCTTTGTTATATAATAATAGAAACTGGTACAAATGTATTGACTTTCACAATCAAATGGAAACCTGATGCCAATATTAATGAGGTAACCAACTGCCCATGAAGTATATCACAATCCAACCATCACTCCTCTCATGTGTACTGGAGACTGAGCTATACTGTAAACTCCAGTGATACTGGATATACAAGAATATAAGAAAAGGCCAGTATAGCTTTTAGAATAAATAGAACCTTACTGAAACTGTTTATGTACCTCTCAATAACAAATATGGTCACTTTAGAAACTGTAACAATGAAAGCAAAGAAGATACCAACACTCATTCTAGTCAGCATACTGGGAATATACTTGTAGAAACAAACTCTGATAAAGAATAAATAAACTAACATTAGAATGACTGAACAAATGAAATACAGAGAGTCTGTTACTGCTAAGCAAGTTGGTATTGTAAAAATTTTAAAAGCAGACCAGTAGCTGTCATTACTGAGTCTAACTGTAATAAAACCAATGAATAAAAAAATTTAAAAAAACAAGGTTAAGTAGGATTCCGAACCACCAAGGAAAATACGAAATGAAAATCCTACTTGTGCCACAAATTCTACTTTACATTGCAAAGTGATCTGTAATTCTTACATAATAACATTGAAAGTACAATGTAGAGTAGAATTTCTGTCACAAGTACGATTTTCATT